CCAACCTCCTTTTTTTTATTATTGAGGAGAAAAAGTACGGCTCAAATTTTGAATTTTTGGCCGGTTGGCGACTGAAGCCTACTCTAATCGATTTTGGACCACCAAGGGATCTTAAAACAGCGCAATTGGCACACGGGACCTCCGAGCTTTTTAGCCCTTCTCCGAGAAGTTAGGTTTAGATCTTTCCTACCAGAAGATCAGGGGTGTGGCTGAAAGATAGCAGGAGCTTTCCTGTCTGTCTGTCAGTCTGTCAAATAGTAAGCTGGTGGTTGGCGGTTTCTGCTCTGTGTGGTTTGCTCCTTTTTTTGTACTAAACAGCTATCATGCTTATATCTCCCCCTTCTTTTATTTGCATGTTACTCTCTTTCAAAACCTCTAACCTTCGGCACCTATGTGACCCTATGTGAGGTAAAATGAGTCGTTCATCAAAATAATGAAAGTCAAGAAACTGGCATTTTTCCGCAGGTTTGGGAATTTTTATCGAGTTTTTACTTAGAAAACGTTGATTGAAGGTATAAAAGATGTAAATTTTCGGTTTCCACGGACTCTCAAGCTAAGGAAAGAACTCAATTTTGGCGGCCATTTTCTCGATAATTTTACCTCTGAAACCAGGCCGCCCCCACCTCCTTCAATCGCAAATATCTTGTATACAAGATAAATTTTTTTTACCAAAAGCAATGCAAATAGACAGGCTTTAAGATTATACCAATAACTCCATATGTCCCAAAAATAACGAGCGCCTGGTTCCACCGTGTCATGGCACCTATATGTGTTGCAAATACCGTAAAACTCTTTCCATTCAAATTAACATAAACTCTCAACAGAAAGGTCGATGATTTGATCTTAAACCTTACCCCATAATTTGGTGACCTTGGAAACACATTATAAAAACATTTTATACAACAAATTATTCCTCCCTTCATGTTTGTTGAAATGAATACCAGGTATCACCGTTTGAGATCTTGTCAGTATCTGACAGGGTGTCAAGTTAAACAGCCTAATCAACTACATGTACATGTATCTATTGGAAACATGAGAATCTTTCTGAGTTTTATGAACTCTCTGGGAATTATAAATTAAAAAAATAAAACACATAGCCGAAAGGGTATGAAGTCTTAGTTCTAGTTTTAGTAGAGGTTTTACGGCGCTCGCAACTGCATAAGACCATATTATGAGCGCTAGGGTATGAAGTCTGACTTCGAGTGGGGCTGTGTGCTAATATAAGAAATGTTTCCGCCTCTATCTGGTTTCGATCTCGGGACCTTTAAAATGAGAGGCGGACACGGTACCTCTTGACCACGAGAGCTCCTCTTTCATGGTCTTGTTATAACGTTGATAAAAAAAATACCGCAAGGAGAGAAATAGGTATGTGGTACTTGTACTGGCGATTGTCCTATACAGGTGGCTGTTTGTACAGGTGATTGTCTCATATAAGTGGCCGTTTGTTCTGGTGATTGTCTTATAAAGGAGGCCGTTTTTACAGCTGATTGTCTTGGTTGTCTTACAGAGGTGATTGTCTTGGTTGTCTTACAGACGTGATTGTCTTATACAGGCGGTCGTTAGAGCAGGTTTGCTGTACATTCGCTTCTTGCGGATGTTTAACTATGTAATGAGTTTCTGAATTTGGAATATTATTATGTTTGTTTGTTCTGTATGTGGGACTGTGTGTATGTGTGTGTGTGTGTGTGTGTGTGTGTGTGTGTGTGTGTGTGTGTATGTGTGCGTGTGTATGTATTTGAGAGGGGATATGTGTGTGTGTGTGAGGGGATGTGTGTATGCGTGTGTATATGTGTGAGAGGGGATGTGTGTGAAAGGGGATGTGGGTATATATGTGTGTGCGTGCATGTGTATCTGTGTGTGTTCGTGTGAAGGAGGGGGGGGGGAGGAGAAAGTGGGGAAGAGACAGGGGTCGTGGGAGAGGTGGTAGGGCGGGGTCGGTTCGCCTGTATGCAATATTCCTATAGGAAAACTTTACTGAGGTTAATGTTATGACGAATGTAGAATATTTAAACAAACAAATAAGCAACACACGTGCCCGAGGAATGTATTATTATTCCTAAAACGCAGAAGATGTCAACAACATAAACGGTTCAATGACGTCATCACACGTATTGCTGGAAAAGAAAAAAAATATTGTTTTTAAAAAAGGCTAACTTGTCAATGTCAGATCTGCAAAATTAATGACCACTCTTAAATGAATTGACCTTGGTCTGTTATCGAAAAGTGTTGTATTTCGGTTTGCTAGGAAACGCAGGAAATATTTTTTTCCCAGATTAATGTAATTTGGACTAATCTACAACAATCATAACTTGGAAAATGTTGCAGACATGAAATGGTAATTTCATTAATCACTTGTCATACATATTGTTACTGTTGTTTCTGTGGTTTTTTGCCCGGATTTAGCTTTTGTTAAAATATTTTTTCAAAACAAAAATTGAATTCTATCAATGGCTAGGCTATGAATAATGTTTTAGGTTCAACGCACCATTTTAGTTTTACAAGCTGTGGAGGTGTAATCAAAATCAAACCTATAGAAAAGATCAAATCAGATTGCATTTAAGAGCTCTCTGGTTTTGTGATCGTTTTGTGTTATCGTTTTTTGTGATCGTTTCGTGTTGCAGGAGACGGGTTTTCGATGGTTTGAAAAGATGATGTGGGAGGAGGGGGGGAGGGATGACGGAGGTGGGCGTAATTTCATTAATGTGTTTGTTTATATGTGTGAGTAAGTGTGTGTGTGAGTGTGTATGTGAGTGTATGTGTGTGTGAGTGAATGTGTGTGAGTGTGTGATTGTGCATGTGTGTGTGCATTTATGTATGCATGTGTGTATTTGTGTATGTGCGTGTATGTGTGTATGTGTGTGTGTGAGTGTGCGCATGTGTGTGTACGTGTGCGTATGTGTGTATGTATGTGTTTGTGTGTGTTTGTGTGTATGTTTTCGTATGTGTGTATGTGTGTATGTGTGTGAGTGTGTGTGTACCTGTGTGTGTGTATGTGTGTGAGTGTGTGTATCTGTGTGTGTGTGTGTGTGTGTGTGTTAAGGGTGGGAGGATGTAGGTATTGACAAAACTCTGGACATCTCTCTGCCCAGTGTTGGGTGAAGCGTTTACAGTCTTTTGTGAGCGTCACATTATAGATCCAATGCATCCCTTCGTCCCCCTTGAAATGGGAGTTTGATTTTTAACTCTTTCACCGAGCAT